GGCCGTCAATTTCAGATATAATTTTCTTGAAAATTGAGATTTTGTGAAGCCGTAAAGTGTACCGGCCAACCATTGTAGAGACCACTTGTCAGCTCTTCTGAAGAATACCTGTCAACTCTTGCAAAACAGTGAACGGGTCGGTGGGAAGTAGCGAAAGTACAAAATGCCGACCCCTCCCCTCCCGCTGGGTGAGGGGGGGGGGGTCGGCAACGATAGTTGGTTTTTCTTTTCGGACGCTATGAGGAGGGGAGGGCGTATTTGCTCGTTGTAGGTAGAAGGGGGGGGGGTGTTTTTGTTGTGGGAATTTGCGGCGTTGGGGAAATTTTTTCCCGGTTTTTGACATTTCACGGATTTCCCCGTTTCAGTGTGTATGTAACACCCACAGTTGGTGGCGCCGCCCAAGACAAATACCCTTTCTGATCTCAAAGTTGGAACAAGGTTGAAACTAGTCCGTTGCTGACGATCTCCTTCTATCCTCCCCCCCCCCCCTTCCTCAGCTCGACAGGAAAATTCTAGGGGGAAACTAGAAAATTTCCATGAAATTCCGTAAAACTGAAACAAAGTGGTGGGAAGCTGTGGAAAATCTAGAAAAGTGGTGGGTAGGACGAGGAATGGGGTCGTATCAGATGAGGGAATTATGGGGGTCGTATTTTCCAAAAAATTTCTCCCAGCTGCAAGAAGTGCCCTGTTTTGGAATAAACTGGTCAGCTCTCCAATATAGCAGGGAGAATTACGGATGCATAGTGCATGTACGCCAGCGATAAGATCTGAGTAGCCCTCGTCAATAGGTGGAACGTTCCGAACATGGAAATATATTAACTGGTACCATTCACTCGAAATGCAACTTCCAACCACAGAAATCCATTTATTGGATTGACAGATTTTCGTAAGCTGTTCAAACAATGGCAGTTAATCACTTTGTTAAATATGGAAGTTGTCTCAATAAAGAAAAATGAGTAGTAAAATCGAAAGATCCAACTTATAGTTGTAAGTCACGTGCGTATAAAATAGGATTTAGGTGAATTCTAATATAATGGATGTTACACACACAACGGTTTCGTGACGGAATTCAAGAGATCGATGAGGGAGAAATGAGAGAAAGTACGCGAGCAAGAGAGACGTCACGTAGTCCTTTCATAGAAAGGTGAGAGAGGCGATCTTTTGCACGCCTTACTTTTAGCGAACTGGAATACGAGGACATCTCAAGTTTGATGAGCCAATTCTACGAGAACAGGTTAAGGAGAACATATGCCTGTTTACCTTCACCTTTTCAAAAGTCATTGGTCAGTAGCGAAGAGGTCGTTTTATTGGGAAAAATTTGTAAGTTCAAAAATTTCGCTAATTCCGTCGACATCATAAAAATGTCACTGTAATTCAACGATCTTGACCAATAGGTATAAAGGAAAAGAACGCTGTGGTTAAAGTAAAAAATAAAAGTTTAGCCGTCGACTGATCCTTTTTTGAACGATGCATTCGGCCTTCATTTAGAATCTTAATACCTTATTGAATGTAATACGGCTTATCCAATGGCTTGCGGGGACCAGCTGATGTCCAAGCCAAGGTACTCCTGGACGAATTGGTTGCCGTTTAACCGTTCTCGGGGGGGGGGTAGGTTTGATTGGCGTGCTGGGCAGCCTTTACGGGCTTTAAGTCCGGTCTGCACTTGTGGATCAGTTGAATATAGCTATTAATTACTTTGCAAGAAGTCCTCTATTTTGAGTGGGTAGTAGGCATTTTAAAGGCTGAGGTGGTGTAGTGACAAATGGCGGGCTTAATACAGGCGCGGTCCTGAGTTCCAATCGCCGGTCTCTCGTCGAGACCAACCAAGCCAGGGGACGGTGAATTGGTGCCAGATTCGTCTGGGAGGATAGGAACACTGACTTGTACATCGGCTGGCCCCGCAAGTCATTGTATAGGCCACATCGCATTCAATAAGCCACTACGATTCTGAATGGAAGTAGAATGCGTGCCGCATCCCTCGAGACTGAAGCTGAAAGTCCTTTTGGAATGGTCAAGGAGGAGGATTAAGGTTGTTGATGCAAGAAGCAGAAACTATTATTTTTACTTTCAAAAAAAGGAGAAGCCAGGAGATTGTAAAGCAAGAAACCGCGGCGAAACAAAAAATTTGGGCATTGGGCCCTGTAATTATTTATAGTGGATCAGTAAATCGCTCATTAGGATCAAGGCAGATGACAGGAAAGTTGAGACGAAAACTGAGTCGTCGAGTTGAGAAAAGATGAGGGCTGAGGAAAGGAGAGTCTTGAGCTGAGGGAGAAGCAACAGTTCATAACCACTTTATCTTGGAACATAAGGATGCAATGGTGCCCCCTGCAAGAGAAGTGGTTAGGTGGCTTGTTAAAGACTATTGCATTCAACTACACATGAAGACCTTGAGCTGTGATAAGATAGACAGTTCCCCGATTGATTTTTGAGAAAAAAAGCATTTTGGTGGAGGGAAAATCGCAGTTGGATATTTAGTATTCAAATGAAAAACAAATGTTAGAAGGGATTCAGCCCGTTGACAGAAATTCTGCCACACCACGAAGCAGGACTGTCTGAGGAATAGGTATTTTCTTCGGTTCATAAAGGGGCCTGATGAACTGGGGAACTTCCATTTCCCAAGAAAATTGAATTTTTTTCCATTTCCCAAGAACAGCAGTAGAAATGGTCAAATATGGCGCAATGTCAGCTAAAGCAGTATTCAAATGTTACAAGTGTTACGCATGGGCTTATCACAGGAATTCCAATAGATGCTGACATAAGTACGGCTTAGAAGATAAGTTATCACCATAGTGATTTTTCCGTGATGTTGCGAACTAATTTTGGTGTAGACTTGTTTATTGAAATATCGTTCTATTTGTGAAAAAAAAACGGATTCTGCGCTAGCTCTTTTTTTCCAAACCTGTTAATGTTATTTCTCTATCTAATTTTTCTAACTAGCTCGATGATTTTTCTTTGTTGAAGCACTTCCTAAAATAAACACGGGAGGTAAATGTAGCAGTTAAAGAAGGATCACTGTTTTTGAGAAGTGACTGTGATATTTTGGTCAAGTGGCGGAGATAGTGTAATGGTAAGTGGCACGCCTACCACCTGCACACTCCGAGGGACAGCTCTTGCCCGGCCCGACCAAGCCTTCTACCCTCAGTGGATGGTGAGTCCCTTTGGGAGAAACTATTTTCGGCTGCTCCCCGTAAGTCATTGTATAGCCACAATGCATTCAAAATTCCAATACCATTGAATGCAAGTGGCATGTTACATCCCAGAAAGGGAGTGATCAACGGCGAAGGATAAATACTTTATCGTTCCACGAAAAAGAGAGTGAAGTTTAAAAATATTTTCATGGCCAAGTTCTAGACCAAGGGGAAGGATTCGAGATAAGGATCCTCCTTGTGTCAAAGTAGACTGGTCGTTTTCATTATCCCATAAGGAAGTTCTCCACGCTATTCTGGCTCCTTGTTCGAAACACGCTTGACCTTGCCGGCAATATAAAGGGGAATTGGCGATCAGTGAGCGAAAAAAATTGTAGGTAGATGGGTTAGAAACGAAGGTGTATGTGCTAGCTGACTTGTCTGGGAAGAAAAAAGAAGAGAAACCGCCAAAAATGCTCCAAATAAAGCCCCAGTTCTGCCAAGCGAGAGATAACGAATTGATGTAGATATCAAGCGAGAGGCCAAAGAAAGCAGCGAGAGAGCATGCAATTAGCAGACAGCAGACAAGACATTCACAGTCGGGGAAAAAATAGCAACAAGACCAAGTCGGGCGCTTTTTAATAGCTTTACCTAGAAGCGTCAAACTGCATATAAAAACGTTTGTTTGCTCAAATCAAGCACTCCTGAAAAAGCTACTCTGAAGAAGAGAATTGGTTGATTGAAATCGTTGCAGGGACAGAATTTCGAACATTACGGCGAGAGGAAGTGGGGGGAGGGGGGGGCGGGGAAGAGGAACCTGTGGGTGGGGGTGAGGGCCAGCGGCACAGCGATCGTTGTGTGGAAACACATAGGGGTGGGTCGTAACTTTTCCTGCGGGAGGGGTCGTACTTGGGGTAAGACAATGTTTTTTTGAATAGTTGATTTTTTTCTTAGTGGAAAAAAGGGAGGGCTCGCATAATTTTTGTGTTATATGCCACCCTCGTAACCGCCCCGCCGGATATACGTCCCCCCCCCGCTCGACGACTTTTTCGCCGACTATATACCCATCGCTCGTCAGTCGGCGAAAGAGCTGGTCGAGCTGAGGGGGGGGGGGTCATTTCGCCTATCCCTATGCTGTACCCCACTGGGGGCTGCTAATGAAGGAGTGGACTTTTTTTCATCTTTTTTGACGCGTTAGCTTCCCCGCAGGCGCGAGAAATTCGGTTAGTTCAGGCGAGAGCCGATCCCGCTTTGAACCCCGGACCACGCTTGTGGTAAGTGGCGCCACTTGCCATTGCACCATCTCCGCTTAACCAAATTTTTAATATAATTGTATTATACCATTATATTCTGAGTCTAACACTGGAACACTGGTGTATAAGAAGGGATTAGATAGCTCAGAACAGATGAAAATGCCTTTTCAGAGCTTGTCCCAAGTTTTTTTTCCGCGACTGTATCAGGGGCGAAGCCACTTGAGCATCCTGTGCCCCATTGCAGCTTCCTTACCTTACTGTTGTAAAACTGTACAGGGCATTGGCAGTGTTCGATGACTGCACTAGCTCGCCACGATAGAGTTGATACTAATAAGTGATTCGTTGGGCTCAGCCTTTATGCAGCGCAGAACTAGATAATTGAACGTTGCACAGGAACGCAAACGAAAAGCTTGAATGCAAATTCGATTGAAAAGTAACCAAATATTGCCCAATATGGCTGACTCGTCTTCCCCTCTCATGATAGGCAAGCCTCTGTGATCGTAAAACAAACACTGATGGAATTCCAATTGGGGAATTTCAATCACCATACCTAAACCTGTATTCGCCCCATATGACTGTCACATCTTTCGCAGCATGAGCTGTGCAGCAAAAAATCGTCTCAAAAACTTAATGGGTTCCTTGACAGGTTGGCTTGAAGACAAGACGCTATTTCGTCGCGATGCCTCATGTCTGCCGGAAGAAATGGGAAGAGAGCGCTCTAAAAAAACATTCTGACTAATGCATTCGTGGATTTTGTTATTGTAACAATTTTCAGAAAACACAGGATACGATATTTTTTCTAATGCCACCTTCAGATGGAGGTTGTGTCTAACTTTATATCTTTTCTTATAATTACCAAATTTTCATTTATCGGTCATTTGCACTTCTCATTAATTGAAACTCATACACTCCGTATACTTGAGATAGGGAGTCCGTGGCTGCGTACTTCATTCAAACATGGCGAAAGCTGTGCTTGTGGAGAGCAGCTTCAGAACGGTTGCAACCGACTTCCCCAAGTACAGGGTAACACTAGTATCAAAAGGAAATTTCCCACGAACAACGCATCCTACGCCATGTTCAGGTGAAGTAAGCAGCCACGCCCACTCCTCCGTGGGGTGTGGAGTATACATTCAGAAGGGACATACTTTTGGCAATGAGTACAGTCCCACTCCCTTCATCACATTTACTGGAAATCGATCGATTACTCAGCCCATCAAAGACAGTTCCCGCGAGCAAGTGACCCGTGAAATGCCTGCGTTCATTCGGCCAGTCCGCACTAGCAGAGAATGTACCACTCTCGTCACTTGAAAGAGCGAAATAAAGAGGCTGCAGACGCGTGACCACAACATCCTCTATTATTTTCACTCTGCAAGACACCAACTTACATGAGGAATTACGTGTGTGCATTGTGTTACCCAGAGCGTCGTAGGGCGATTTCCCATGCGGTTGACTTCTTTCGGTATCCCAGTATCCTGCGCGAATTGGATACTACGATTCTCAGTGATTCGGTCAGCGTAGCTGCGCTCTTCATTTGAGAGTGGCGGCGGGTGCCCTTTTGTTGAGATATTCCCATTTTGGCAATCACAGCTGCAATCATTTACGAGCCCAGACTGGACCCGAACCCGCTTTCTCCTGGACAGGGCGAGTGCAATACTGCATTTAATAACTGACAGGGGCTGTACAAGCTTCATGTTTATATTTACTTTAACTTATGTTCACCGGACCCACTGTAATGATCTCAGCTCGGGGGCCTGTGGGGTCTGGCTTTTGCTCATAACTCAATGTCAGCACTCTCGCGGTAAGAGAGCTGTCTATGAGGCAAACTCGGAAGCTTGTACATTAGACAGCCCCTGTCAGTTATTAGATGGGCTAGATCACTTACACATATAG